TTTTCAGATAAAGCTACTACTCTGTTAATAATTTACCTTTTTGAGTGCTTGCTTTTACCTGTTGCTATGCTAAGCATTTGATTTATAACTATCTTTTTCAATTCTTAAAACAAGCTCTGTTAGGTAGAAACCATTATTATCCCTATTTTGCAGATGAGAAAAGTGATTCAGCTTATCCAAGATCGAGCAGATGGTAAATGACAAAGTTGGCCACTCGGTCACCCTCACTTCCAAGTCTCTCAAATTTTCATAAGTTTTAGGATGAAAACTAGGCCTGACAAAGTAGCACACTAAAGACATGTGATACTGCTTTTTTAAGTCACTCAAAAAGAGGGTCATATATAGGTGATATAGCATTAATTTATTTTAACTACATCCCCTTAATAGGTATGCTGGGAAGAAAAGCCATGCAAAACATGATCCTTTAAATACAAATTAAACTTGGGTTATTTATCTTGTTATTAAATTGGTGGGAAATGTTTCTCCGTAAGAGGTTATGCAAGCAGATGCTCCCTGGCTCTGGCTTTTTGTCATGTCAACCTTAATTATCTAATAGGCAGGCAGGATGGAGGAAGCACTTGCTGATTATGTTTCACTAGATGGAACACTGAGTAATGAGCTATAAGAAAGCAACATAGAACTCATTTTCAAATTGTCTTTTTTAGTTTTTCTAAAAGACAAATTGTAGCTTTGAAAAAAAAAGAAGATGCCACATTCTATATAAAACTCCTTTTTTCATGTAGCTCTTTGGAGAGGCCGTGTAGCAGATGGCTCTTAGTCACTGGAGCTGGTGTGAATGCTGGGTTTGCAGATGAGCTCCAGCCAACTTCTTAGCTTCTCCAAACCTCAACTTTCTCACCTTTAGAGATGAGATGATAATACCTACCTCACCAAGTACACAGTAGGTGTTAACCCTCCCCTTCTTATCTCCCATCACTCCTTTCCATTCAGAAGTAATTATGGAGACTCTGTTGTGTGTCAGGTCCTGGCTCACACACTCCACTCTTTCAAGAGGTCAAAGGTTGGATCAGGAGGGCACCAAACCAGGTATCTGCTGCAGTTTAGTGGAAGTATAGTAGAACTATTAGTACTCCCTAAATCCTAAGGAAGCATGAAGTAGGGAGCAACTACTTGTTTTGGGGGGATGAGTGGGTTAGTAGTGTTCATTTTAAACATATTTTGTGCTTAAGGGTCATTTAATACTGAACAATAAACCTTTATATTTTGCAGTCAGAAATTAGTTTGAGCTAAACACTAGGCTGATTTGCAATGCATGACAATTTGACTGTTGTCATTGGACTAAGAGTATGTTGTAGCACATGTATCATTCTTTACAGTGATCACTATCAGAAGTTGCTGGTTTTATGAGACTAAAACTATCCAAGGATATGCAATATTGTCAGTTCAATCGTAGCTTACAGGGTCATGGAATTATAATGTCTGTGAAGCACCTAATATATGGTAGGTTCTCAGGAGACAAGGAAGCCCCTTGCCCTTCAGAGTTCATCGTCTTGGGGGAAAGCAAACAGGACAAGTGACCGCAGAATGGTATGCGCGATGTCCTTCTTTGGGTGACAACACGATCATTCTGTTGGTCCCAGCATTATCTCTGCTGCATTATACTAAGGTTAACTTGTGCAAAAGAGTAATTGTGAAATCAGAATATGACAAGATATTAAGGTCACTTTGGAATGATGTGGCATTTATCCAGTAGTCCATCACTGATCCAAAATGACTTGCAGTCATTATAAATGTAGCCAGTCATGCTGAATTTGACAGCAGTTCTCCATTCAGATTTGTGAGATGTCATGTTTGGTGGGTAAGTTGGCAAATACAGATTTTTTTCTCCTCTCTCTTGGAAGAGTGAAAGCACAACCTCTCCTCTGAATCTCTGCACCTGCCATGGGGTGATGGAAATGCCCGAGGCTCCCTCCCTGCCATTTGCTTTGCCATCCTTTCATGCCCACTGTGTGTGCACCAGTTGTGTCTCTGGTCTTTCCGGGAGCCAGGCCTCCTCCTCTGTACCTTTGGTTCCTAACTAGACGGTAAAACCTGACCTGGTACCCTTCATTCACTCAACAATAATTTACTGAATATCCGTGGTGCTGACAGGGGCAAGACTGAGACATGGGACACCCTAATGACTCATTACTCTGGGCTAGGGGCAGGCTAAGGATCCAATGTTGCTTCAGACTGTTATTCTTTAAATATTTGTTCACAACATTTTCAAGAGGAGAAACCAAGCACTGTATAGGAAAAGGGCAGCGAAAGACCCCCTCTAGGTCCCTTATGTCAGTTTCCAGAATCTCAGCTGACCAGGAAGAACTACCAGATTCCCAGTCTTTCCTTTCAACCACACGCAGTACTGGCTCTGAGAAAAGTTCTGGTAGACACTGTTTTTGTTTAAGTTGTTTCCAGAGATGTGTTAACCCCCCACTGATGAATAGGTGTGTTACATGGCAGCTGCCATCATATTCATCTCTGAAAAGAGACAATGCAATAGATCCCTGGGATATTAGTTAAAAAGATGTTGCCCCAGCCCTCAAGGAACTTGAGGCAATAGCTTAATATACTATAAAACAGCATAAGAGAAATATTAGTAAATGTGTTCTCCGAACACAGACGGACGATCAGCAAATTCAGCTTGTGGCAATCTGGGTAGCTCGTAGCGGTGATTCCATTTGGCCCCAGAGTGGGACAGATAATGATGTGGAATATCCCTCTTTTAAATTCAGCTGTTATTCATGTTTTGAACTTTTCAAGTGGATAAAATGGAAGACTAATTTGACATATCTAAAGTCTTAAATGTATACAGTTGCCCAAGGCAGGGCGGGTGAGTCTGATACTGCAATGATTCCTGCCATAGCTGACCTGCAAAGTGAGATCCTGGAGACTATGCCTTTTTTTTTTTTTTTTTTTTTTTGAGTAGGAATCTTACTCTGTCACCCAGGCTAGAGTGCAGTGGCACACTCACAGCCGTTGCAGCCTCAACCTGCTAGGCTCAGGTGATCCTTCCACCTAAACTTTCAAAGTAACTGGAACCATAGACACAAGACACTGCGCCCAGCTAATTTTTTTTATTTATTGTAGAGACAAGGTCTTGCCAAGTTGCCCGGGCTGGTCTCAAACCCCTGAGCTCAGGTAATTCTCTTGCCTCGGCCTCCCGAAGTGCTGGAATTACAGGAGTGAGCCACCATACCTGGCGACTATGCTTAACCCAGTGCAGGTCCTTTGACTTCTTGCTAGATATTTCCTCTTAACATTTTATTTAATTGTCACTAAAAGACATGTATACCCAAATGGAAAACCATTCTCAGATTACAAAACAGTATGATATTTCTCTGCTTTACTGCAAAAAAGTTTGTTTTGTCAAATCCACTATCTCTCCTGACCAGACAGAAATAAGAGCATCCAGACTTTTCCACTTTCAAAGTAAAAGCTTTGGGGCCTATTGTTTTTCTATCAGAAAGCCAATTGCTGCTGTATTGTTTTTTAATCTCAAGTCACTTGGGAATATTTGTCCTTCATTGGGAACTTTCTGAAAGGAGCACTTGTTTGAGAAAGAAGGGATTTCTCAGTGTTATGCTTGTTATCTCCAAATCTTCCAGAATTTTTTTTTTTTAGGTTATCTTGAAATTGACTTTTTATTTTTTTTTTCCCCCTGAGTCAGAATCTCACTATGTCGCCCAGGCTAGAGGGCAGTGGCACATTCTTAGCTACCACAGCCTCCACCGGCTGGCCTCAGGCAAACCTTCCGCCTCAGCCTTTCAAGTAGCTGGAACCATAGGCATGCACTACCAAACTCGACTTATTTTTTGATTTATTGTAGAGATGAGGTCTCACCAAGTTGCCCAGGCTGGTCTTGAACCTCTGAGCTCAGGTAATCCTCTAGCCTCAGCCTCCCAAAGTGCTGGGATTACAGGCTTGAGCCTCCGAACCCAGCCTGAAATTGACTTTTTAAGTTAAAGCACATATGTCTTGTGTCCTTCCTCTGGGTAGAGAAAATGTTTTTGAGGGGATTGGTAGAGGTAGTTTTTTTTAACACTTATTAGCATACCAAGTTGGAGAACCCACCTGTCTCAGCTGCTGGGCCTGTCAGAATTCCTGTGACTGTCTTTGTCCTCTTTTTATCCTGCCTAATAACTATTTATTCTATTCTAAGAAGCCTTGCCATTTAGTAATATTTTTGCGTTTCATTCTTCCTACTTAATACTATGGTGTTCTGCTGAGGGGGAAGAAAGGCAGTAACTTGCTAAAATTTCTAAAATTAGTTTGAATGGTTTGGTTTTAGCTTGGATAAAGAAACTCAGCTACGTTTTATTTTACTTGACAGCAGTCACTCATCCTGAGATGACAAATTGTGATTATGAGAGAACTGTCATTAAGCTCTACAGTTATATCTTCTCAGCAAAATATTCCTCTGGTTTGGGTAAATGTGAAATAGGAAAAGGAATTAAACTCGTTAATAAGCATGCTAAAAAAATGTTCAATTCAACTCAAATACAGAATAAAGAAACAATAAGATCATTTTTTACATATAGAATTAACAAAGTTTTTTTAAATGATGATTTCTAAATCTAGTGAGGTGCTATTCATATATTGTTTATCAAAAAGAAAATTAGCATAAACTTTTTTGGAAATAATTTGATTCTGCATATCAGAGGCCTTAAAATGTTCTAGGACTCTCATTTTGAAAGCATACGCAAAAAATATATATTGAATCATAGATACTTTCTATTTAATGTTCATATTTTTCTCCTTGTAAATTACTGTTGTGATGAGATTAACTATGTAGTTGATGACAGTAATAGTGGGTAACAGTTAACACCTTTTGTGAAAGGTCAGAAGGTGATCTCTTTAACACTCATTTTTTAAAAAGTTGCCTTTTGTTGGTTCATAAAATTATATGTTGGAAATTTTAAAACTACATTATGTGAATAAGTTATCTTGCAGTCCTTTGATGTGTGAAATATAACAATATGTTTATGATTTCTCTTTAGGAATTTTTCAAATTGAGACTAATTGCAGTGGTTCGGTTGACTGGCATTCATAGGGTAAGATTTACATCCTGAATTGTAAACACATGGTAAAGACAATTATAATTAAGTTGGTAGCTTGAGGCAAATAATTACCGAATATTTAATATGTAAAAAAAAGTTACTATTCTTGCATATATTTTGAGTAAAGTCTTTTGGAGTCTTTTCAACCCGTTTAATAAACAGAAAATTAAATCTGTTTTAGTAAATATGTCATCTTACTGTCTGTTGTGAGTTTTGAATGTAGGAAAGTGTATATGTAGATGATATTTGTCATTTTTTAACATTAAGAGCTAAGGAATATAGCCTGGGAATGGTGGTTCATGCCTGTAAGCCCAGCACTTTGGGAGGCCAAGGCAAGAGGATTGCTTGAGCCCAGGAGTTCGAGACCAGCCTGCACAACATAGCAAGACCTCATCTCTATTATTAAAAAAAATTTATTTAACTTTAAAAAGATCTTAAGAAATATAAATATCCATGAGAGACTTAGAATTTATGTCTATATTTTCCTGACCTTTGTTTAAGGTAGCATTTTTAATGTATATATTTGGTTTGCCATATTTATTTCTATCAAATAAAATATGACCATGCTTTCATTGAGTAGGCAAGTCAGAAATAAACAAGGCCTATGCACTGCTGCTTCCTGCAAACATTATTGTTCTTTTATAATTGTGGGAGATTAGTTTTCAGTTAGCTCTATGGCAGTATTTTTGACTTTGACACAACAAATATTGAATTTGTACACTGTATTAAATAGAATGACTCTCTAGTGTTGTGATTACAGCATGTGTGTTAAATATGTCACCCAGCTCTGAACATATAGTCTAGGTAAATCAGTAGTGAGGCGGGGGTCTGTCACCTATTAATTATGAACATCCTTCTTTTTTACAGATGAAGGTAAAGATCCTTTGACTTCTTGGGCATAGCTGTATTTCTCACTTCATTGCCCAGGCTGGAGTGAAGTGGCACACTCACGGCCACTCCAGCAACAACCCGCTGGGCTCAGGTGATCCATCTTCCTCAGCCTTCCAAGTAGCTGTAACTACAGGCACGTGCTACTGCACCCAGCTAATTTTTTAATTATTGTAGAGAGACAAGGTCTCACCAAGTTGCCCGGGCTGGTCTCGAACTCGCAGGCTCAGGCAGTCCACTAGCCTCAGCCTTCCAAAGTGCTGGGATTACAGACTGAACCACTGATCCCAGCCTGACTGTGAATTTTGAAAGCTCATAACAGCTTTTGCCACTTTTCTACTTATGACCCTTCAGTGCCTTTTCCATCACACCTGGACATTTATTATCCAAAATTCTTTACTTTAGCTGCATGCCTTCTGTCTCTCTTCTACTTTCCCCAGGATCCTGACATTCCAGCCAGAGTGAACTCCCCCTTTCCGATCCTCACACATCTAAGCTTCTTGCTCCTTCTGCCTGGAATGTTCTTCCCATGGTTGGCTCCTTTTTTGTCCCCATCCTAATGGTAGTCAGGTAGTCCCTGACTTTATTTTCTTCATAGCATTTCTGATTTTTTCATGTTTTATGTTTGGTTATTGTTTTTCTTCCTTCACTACACATAGTCCAGTCCACAAGAGCTGTCTGTCCTGCACACCCGTGTTTCCCAAACGTCTGTAAGTCCTCCTGGCACTTAGTAGGCATTCTAATTATTTGTTACACAAATAGACTAAAATCCTAACCTTTCTTTGACAAGTGCTGCTGTTCCCTTTGGACATTTTGTTTATGTAGAACCAAATGTCATATCTACTAGATTTAGTCCATCATCCCACTAATTTGGGCACTGAAATGACAGCATAAGGGGGGGGGTGCCAACTTTCAGCTATATGTATCTTCTTTCTACAGTAGGATCAAAAGTCCTGGGAAGATAGAAACAAGGTCTTGTATTTCCTTGGTATGCCTTTGTAGTGCCTGGGCCTCCATGATTGGGTTCATGTAAATGTTCACTTTCAAGAAAGGATTAAGATTAGTGTCGCAATCATATTTTTAAGTATTCCTAGAGTACACTGGTTTGTCTGTTCCAGTGTACTCTTAAGTATAAAGAAAAGGGGTCTAAAATTTCTCTCTCATTTTGATTTATAATTTACAAAAAAGAATTATAACAGAAGTGTTCTGGACTATATTTGCCACTTCATGTTTCTTTTATTAGAAAAGCCTATTTTTAATTAGGGTAGGTAGCCAGAATTCAATGCTACCAACTTCCAGTTCATTTCAAATTAGGGCCTTTGACCATAAGCTCATTACTTTATGACCCTAGAGAAATCCCTTAAATGCCTCTGAACTTAGATTTCTTATGTATAAAGAGTAGACTTTGATTACCGGGTTAAATAATCCACATGATTCAGCTCTAGTGAAAGGTAGGTTACCTGTGGAAGAACAAGGAGAAGCAGATGGAATGATGGTCTCTACTAACTGCCTGCCATTTGAAAGAAAGGGATTGGCAGTAATGGGAAATTTATGGGGTGGGAGGGGCACACTTCATCAATAAAGGCACCTGATCTCAAGCCAGGAGAAGTGGGGACCTAAGTGAGGCCCAAACTTTACCTGTACAATGACCATTTGTATACCTAATCCTGAATTGTACCCAACATCTTTAAAATAAAAATTAAAAGAAAAAAAAGAGAGCATGTGTGATTCACAAGAGTCTAGATAGGAACTGTGTTTGATTCTACCTACTATGGCTTACTTATTGTGGTAGGAACAGGATAGTCAGGAAAATGTTTCTATAAACAAAAGGCAATGGAGAGGGATTTGAGGTTGGCTTCTGTTTACACCCTCTGAGGATTATCCAGCTACTGGTGGCTTATGATCTTGTGTTCATATTTTAATAATGTGACTGCAACTTTTTAAATTTTAAATGTATTTTAGGTAACACGGTAACTTGCTAAAAACATCAAAGAATGAGACTTCTTTTCCTAAAGAGACAGTTACCATCTACATTAAACATAGGATGTATTCTCTAACTGCCAGAACAAGAAAAAATGAAGCAGTATTTCTTAAAGTTCAGCACAACTCAGATTTTGTTTAAAGTTGTTCCCATGGTTTTGATTCCCTCTATAACTTTAACTTATTTTATGTATTATTTATTTGATTTTATTTATTCAGTCACTTTCTCCTGGGGCTTCAACTGGTTAACATAATTATCCTAATACTTAGAGTATTATTTATGATTGTTTCATAGGCCCATTATCACGCTACAGCCTTGGGTTAGAAGCTTGGAGTGGCAGTTATGCGTCTCCGTGTTCTTTATGTGTCTCTGTGCTCTTTATGCGTCTCTGTATTCTTTGACTTACAATTATGCGTCTCTGTATTCTTTGACTTACAAGCTTCTTTCCTTGTAACTGATTTTTGTGCTTCACAAATACTGTGCTTCTCCTTGACCACATAGACTCTGCTTCTCTAAACTCTTTTATTCTTCCTCATTTAATAATCCTTCTTTGTCTGATATTTTATCTGAGACAGAGGATCTATTTTTTGCTCACAAAACTGTTTCTCTCAGAATTCGTTTCTTTGACACTGTCCACTACTTAAATGTTTGTGACTTCCTGTGGCAGACTAAAGATGGCTTCTAATACTTAGAAAAGAATCTCTTCCCATCAAGAGAAGTCATTCATTTCCCTTCCCTTTGAAGCTGGCTGGCCCCGTTACCTTTTTGGATCAATAGAATGTGGCAGAAATGATGTGGAGTAATTCCCAAGGCTGGGCCTTAAGAGATTTGTAGCTTCTGCTTTTGTGTGCTTGAAACATTCCTTCTGAGATCTTGGTCCCTTGCTGTGAGGAAGCCTAATCAGCCATGTGGAGGACTGGCAAGGCCTCTGGTCAACAGGCCAAGCTGGGCTCCTGGCCAGCAGCCTACCCAAGGGCCAGCCTGGTGATTGAGGCACCTCGGACCTTCTAAGCATTCCAGCCGACACCATGTGACCTGCCTCATCATTGCAGAGAATCATGGGAAGTCATGAATTATTATTTCAGCCACTAAGTATTGGGGTGGTTTGTTACAAAGAATAAAAAACCCAAACGAAAACTGGTATTTAGAAGTGAAGTGCTGCCCTCATAGAAAATCTGGCATTAGCTTTGGGAGAGGTAACAGTGAAGACCTGAAGAGCAGTAAGAATATTATTGTAATTGGAGGATATGGGATGGTACCCTTGTTTTATCTTGACATAAAAATCAGCAAGACTGTCACCTACTGTAACATGGAGCATAGAAATGAACGTAATGAACCTGAGGATCTAGTTAGGAGATTTTTCAGGAGAATATTAGAAACACCAATTGACTCCTTTTTTTAACTCCTTTTTTGATACTATGACCAAAGTATTGCATGAATGAGATCAATTAGACAAGAAACTGTTCCAGTTTTAAGCATATTTTAAAGGAAACATTTCCAAGTCAGAATTTTCTAGGATCATAAATAAAACTGTTTCTCCTTCCCAGCTCCTGTACCCAGCAAAAGGCACTCAAAGAAAGAAATGACCTCAGGTCCAAGGATCAGATCCAGAATACTACTGTCAGTAAAACCTGGTCTTAAGGTGAAAATTAAAGCAAAAGCACCACTGTAGGACCCTATATTAAAACTTCAAAAAGATTTAAGGCAGTGTCTTCTAGATCCTCTCAGCTAGATGGAAGGTCTTCTAAGAATTTCAAGGGTGTTGTCCCACAGCATCCTAGATCTGAGTTAGATGATAAGATCCTGGACTTCAAGCCTGAATTTGATGCCATAGTGGGATGAAGCATTAAGAGGCCTTGGGAGAGAGTTAATGTGTCTTGCACGTGGGAAGAATGTCAATCACCTGTGGCGAGCGAGCAGACTGGTGGAGTAAGCATGGCTGGAAATTCTTTGCCTCTCCTCCCATTGAGTGATGGAGGGCTGCTTTCCCTACCCTTGAATCTGAGGTGGCCCTGTGATTCCTTTGGCCAATAGATTTTGGTGGACGTGGCACTGTGTAGCTTCAAGGGCTATTCCTTAAAAGATCCGTAGGCCAGGTTTGGTAGCTCAGCCTATAATCCCAGCACACTTTGGGAGGCCGAGATGAGAGGATTGCCTGAGCCCATGGGTTCGAGATCAACCCGGGCAGTTTGGTGAGACCTCGTCTCTACAATAAATCAAAAATTAGCCAGGCCCGGTAGCACACACCTGTAGTTCCAGCTACTTTGAACGCTGAAACGGAAGGATCACCAGAGCCCAGCAGGTCAATGCTGGGGTGGCCGTGAACATGCCACTGCACTCCAGCCTGGGAGACAGCGTGAGACTCCAACTCAAAAAAAAAAAAAAGATCTGTAGCTTTTACTTTTGTCTTTGAAATGCACCATCTTGGAACCCAACCACCATGTTATATGAGGACACTCAAAGAACCCATGGAGACTCACGTGAAGGAGTTGCCAGCTGCAGTTAGCACCAACTGCCAGCCTAAGGAATGTGGACATTTTGTACCTTCTAGTCATTTTTGTGCCAGCCAGCACCATGAAGTAAAAGAACCTCCCACAGAATCTCAAGAAATAAAGCCTTATTTTTTTTTAAGCCATTAAGTTTTGGAATATGCAGGTTAGCAAAAATCCTTCCATTTGTAAGCTGCTAAGTTCTAGCATCCCCCCTGGAAAAGGCTCTATCACCTGGAATATACCCTATCTAAAAATATGAAATCATTGGGACTTGTTTTTCATGTTTTTTACATTTTGTACATTTAGATTTTGGGGGTTTTTGCTCATTCACTTATTTGTTTTAGAGACAATGTCTAGCTCTGTCACCCAAACAGGAGTGCAGTGGCATGATCATAGGTCACTGCCGTCACCAGCTCCTAAGCTCAAATGATCCTCCTGCCTCAGCCTTTTGAGTAGCTAGGACTACAAGCATACAACCACTATACCCAGGTTTTGTGGGGTTTTTTTTTTTAAAGGGGTCTCCCTATATTGTCCAGGTTGGTCTCAAACTCCTGGTCTCAAACATTCCTCCCTCCTTGACCTTCCAAAGTGCTGGCTTTACAAACATGAGGCACCATACTCAGCCCATTTAGTTATTTGTTGAATAAATATTTTTAGTACACCATGTGCTAGAAACTTTGTAAGATACGCCATAATAGCATAGGATCAAATTCTGAATCCATTGAACATCCTGCTACTCCATGAACCTCTTTATCTGAGGGTGCTAGGTGGTTCTGAATTTTAATTTACCATGACCATTTTATTCTTTGCTTTCTTTTCAAACGTAATAGAAAATTTACCCTTATTATTTCTCACCCACATGATTGAAGAGACTCGTAGCTGGCCCCCTTGTTTCTGATCTCTCCTCCTTCAGTCCATTCTGCAAATCTCCATAGCTCAGTGACTCACTGTTCTATTGTGTCACATGCCTGAATCTCTGAAGGATTCGTGTAGGATATGGTAGCTGATCTAGGAAGGGACATCCTAGATATCTAGTGCACCTAAAAATGATTCAAAAGACAGGCACTTTTCCCAGGGTACTTTATCGCACATCTATTTTGTGAGCTTTCTCCTCCTCGGGAGATTTGAGGAAAAACAAAACAGCAAAACTAGTCTCACCTAGACTAACTGACTTGCTCTGTAGAAGTGGGGCTTGGACTTGGGTTTCTTTTTTAAAAAGCGTCCCAAGTAGTTTTAAGGTGAAGCCAAGATTGAGAATCACTATCTTTTTAGATTTGTGATTCTCCGAAAGTGGTCCCTGGACCAGCAGCATCAACATGAACTGGGAATTTTGTAGAAATGCTCATTCTTGAGACCTGCTTTCAACCTTATGAATCAGAAACTCTGAGGGTTAGACTTATCACTTTGTGTTTTTATAAGCTCTTGATGATTTTTATGGACATTAATGGTGAGAAACACGATTGAATAAATCTTAGTTTCTTTCTAGATCTCAAAACTGCAAGTAAGTTTGGGAAGTGTGTTTGTTATTTGAAAATCATCACAATGACAAGGTCTGAAAGAACTGATAAGGGACATAACTGGTATATGAAGTGTTATTGCTAGTGATCATTTAAATACTTGAGAAATGCTAAATGCTTGTCATCAGATCTCTGAAGGATGATTAAAGAAGTTACTTAGTATAAAGAAAAGGGACAAATTAATCAGAGGTACTGATGCATTGTTTCCTAGAGAGTGAACTCAAAGGTGAATTTAAATTTCAGTTGGATGTATGTTAGACTCAAGAAACATCTCAATGGTAAGTAGCACTAAACATTTTGAAGAGATATGAGGTGATTTTAAAATCAATTTTCAGTGAGAGTAGTGTATGGAACTGCTGTTTTGAATTGTTTGGCTAAAATCCTTGCCTGGAGTCAGAGACAGATCTTTGAAGTAGCATTCAGTTCTCAGCATATAATGAGTCTAAATACCATCTGATCATCATTTGTTTATTTTTTCACTAGTTATTTTGGAATGCTTTCAAAGTAAAATAAGGACTACTGGGAAGTAAAGATGCCTAACTTGAATGTTGATGTTACAGTCTTAGAGACTTTGGAGTGAGATTGTCAAGTGAATTCATGTGTTTTAAAAAGCTTTTATGAGTTTTTAATGAGTTTTAAAAGCTAAAAGAATGGGATTAACCATAAAATTTGTTACTCTTAACGTTATTCCCTTGAACTAATTTAGCACATTTGTATATTAGAAATAGAGATCTCATTTGGATTGAATCCTCATTTTTTGCTAAAATATGGTCTGGAAAACATTTCCTGGACACATAAACAGTACTAAAAGATATAGCAACATTTATATTCTGACTCTCCAGTAAAACACTTCAATTAGACAAATTGGCATCATTGAGCCTTTTCATGTATCCTTAAGTCCAGATGCTATATATTTAAATATCATCTTAGTTCAGTAAAACTATTTTGTAGAAAAATGTTTAGCTGAGAACATAGATTATATAATATGTAACTGAAGACATTGCAGAAAACTCCATTTACATCCAATTCAAAAATATTATAATAGAACCCAGTTATAACACAGACATTGGGGTGAGTTGGGAAAGAGAGCTAAATATTTTTTTGTCAGCCTTTGAGAGAACTGAGACCATGGCATAGTTAATTGGATTAACTGAGGCCATATGATCTGGTGTGGATGAGGTTAGGATTTGAATCTGATGACATAGGTTCCAGTTGTAACTTTATTTCTTGCTGGTGTTGGGCCAGGTAAATTCTTTGGGCCTGCCTTATTTTCCATGTGCATGAAATATGAGGACAACTATACATCTTGTATGTATAGAACAAGTTAATGTAAATTAAAAATTATTAATAATAAATCCACCAGGCATGGTGGCTCATGCCTGTAATCCCAACATCTGGGGAGGCAGAGGATTACCTTAGCACAGGGCTTCGAGACCAGCATGGGCAACTTGGCAAGACCTCTTTCCTACAATAAATCAAAAAATTATCCAGGTGTTGTGACACGTGCCTTTGGTTCCAGTTGTAACTTACTTGGAAGACTGAGGTGGAAGGATAGCCTGAGCCCAACGGGTCGAGGCTGCGGTGGCTGTGAGCATGCCACTGCACTCCTGCCCAGACAACAGAGTGAGACTCCAACTCAAATAAATAAAAAGTAGGAGATACATTTGTAATATTTAAAGGAAACTGTTGTATAAGAAGGATCATGATGGCCAAGCAGTGTTCTGGAATTATGCAATAAATTCTTTCCTGGCATGTTTCAGACCCAGTGCTGTGGAAGAAAATGTAAAGTGTTTCGCACATCAGATGTCTTTATCATGCTCAAGGCACATAAATGCAGTCGTGTATTAAATGTTGTAGCCTTTTATAAAGGCTTGTGAATGGTAAAGGAGAAACATCTCATACTCCAGCAGTAGCATGTAATTTTGAATTAGCACACAGCCATCTTGTTATACATACTAACTGTGCTTTCTAACCTGCAAAACAATTTGATGCTGGATGGTGATTAATTATAAAATAGGCTTTGTACATGACCTGGGAGACCCCAAGTAAATTTCAGACATGTCCAACTTTTGGTATTTGAAATGACAAGGTTACAAGGTTATGACTAAAAATATCTTAAATATAATTTGGGGTCAGTACTCTTAGCTGAATTTCAAGTACTTAATACATTTCAAAAAGGATGTATTTACAGGGAAAATATAAAAATCTCCCCAGCAAATTTTTTGAGGTTCATAGACACTAAAAAAAATAGAATTTTTACACTCAAAAAAGAAATTCTAGCATTTCAGAATGTTCTCATAGTTCAAACTTACCAGTATATATGTAATTTAACAATCATAAATGACTGAATATATATGTTGAGAATGCCTTTTATTAGCAAGTAAGTTTAAAATGTTTAATGTAAAGAGTAGCTATGGTTTAACATAATTTCAGGAAATTTTAACCAGATTTTTTTAGCTATGTCTGAAAAAGTATATTAACCTGTCACTTTGTCTAATGAAATTGGTGGGCTAAATTTTAGGAGCACTGAGCCTTCTCATTTGGATAGATATGTGGTTTTAAATAAGGGTACAGAAATTACATGGCTTGACAAGCCATCTGATAAATGCAAATAAGAACAACTGTGTATGAAGACTGAGTGAGAGAAATGAACATATGTAGACTACTTAGAAAAAACTAAGTGTTCATCTCAGTGTTGTCGATGTAGAATTTTAAAATATGTTGTATCTAAATTTCTATAGAAACTTCTCTGTAATTGAAAAGGAGTTTAGGGAGTGGGTGGTATGGTTTGATGACGGTGGGTAGAGTCCTGTAGATACAGCTTTGCCAGAATGTGCCCCAGTGTGAAAAGTAAACTCACCTAATGAAAATCTATTTGCCATACCGTGTCTTATGATGGTGAGAGTCTCTGGAGACAGTGTCTTCAATTTTGTTGTTGTCTGAATGACTATAGCTATTTCACGATATTTATGCTTTCTCATAGAATGAAGACAAGCACAGAGATGGTGTGTCTAAGAAACTTCAAAAGGTGTAGACCTCCTGATTGAAGCGTAGCTGATTTATTTGATTCATTTTTTAATTATAGTAAGTATAAATATTTAAAGTACATTATTTTGGTCAATGTTGGCTTGTATTCTTTGTTGACTAGATACTCACTCCTGTCAAATACCCTTATCGTTGTCTTCATTCTTATGCAATTTGATTTGCATATCTTAAATGAATTTAACTCTCAGGACTTTTGAGAGGACAAATAAAATGATGTGCTTGGAGAATGACGTCTTTATCCATTACAAGAAATTCACTTGCAATATCCCTGATGGATGATCATTTTATTTATCTAGACCATGCCCAGGACAGGGAGCTGAACTGTTTCACAGAGCGGCCATTGAATGATGTTCCAGCATCGATTGTATCAAAATATGACTTTCTAAAACTTCCACCTACCTAGTTGTACCGCAGGAACAAGTACACTTTATTATCTTATCCAGGAGGCACAGAAATGTAAAGATAAATTCTCAGGTTCACCTAGTAGTCTTTTATCTCAGCTGAATATTGTTAATTACCTGTTTTCCTCTGTAGGAAATGGTTTGTGGACTGTAACCCCTGATTGTTTTTTTATTTTGTTTTGGTTTGGTTTTTTTCATCCTTAACCTGTAACTGAGCATTGGGTTCTAGTTGTGATCTCACCAAGCAGGCACAGAAGGACTGTTGCCCCTTATCTGAATTCACTTATTAATATGGCCAAAGGTTATAATCAGTATTTTAGCATAATAGCTATCATGTGATTAGCTGAAAGTATCCATGTATGTCAATGTGTAACCTTAAGTGTTTGTCACATGTTATTTCATCCAGCATTGTTTTCTGCCGCCTCCCCCACTTCATATTTATGGTATTTTCGGGTCTAAGTCCAGGACTTTCTATTTGTCAAATGTAATCCTCTCATTTTGGTTTCTGTCTTACCTTGAAACACAATTATGTGAGGCAGTGGGGTGAGGCAGAATGAGAGGACTTGAGAGTTAGAAATAGATCCATTAAATTAGAGTAAAGAAGGAATGCTCTGGAGAGTTATATAATCAAGTCTCAGGTCCTAGGAGAAAGTTGAATCTATATAATATGTGATGACCAGAGAAGAGGATACACGCAAAAGGTGGTGCTTCAGTTCAGCAATTAAAACCAGAGATCATGTGTGGGATGCCCTACCAGGCAGGAGAGCATGAAGAAGCTATAGGATTTGGTGTCAAATGGTCAGGAATATGCTGAGGATGACCAGCAAAAGAGAAGATACTTATTAACGGGGAGCAGGGCCTCTGTAATGGGATATTGGGGTTCAGGACAGGATACCAGTCTCCAGAGGGAGGACTGATCAGACAAAAACAACTTTCCTTGGAGGTGTTATCAGTACTAAAGTATCTAGAGAGAAACTCAAGCCCAGGATAGATGATAAGACTTCAGACTCACGATAGACCAGGAAAAGCCCTCGGGCACAGGTTAGAGCTGGACTACCAGCAAAGGTTGGTTATGCTATCATGATTTTTTCTTCTTCCTGTTTTTTGTTTGTTTGTTTGTTTTTTGTTTTTGTTTTTGTTTGGTTTGGTTTGGTTTGGTTTAGTAGAGTTGGGGTTTGACCATGTTGTCCAAGCTAGTCTCGAACTTCCTGGACTCAAGTGATCCACCTCAGCCTCCCAAGGAGTGAGCCACTGCACTATACCCAGCCATTTTTCTTTTTTCTTAATAGATATTTTCTGGCCGGGCTTGGTGGCTCAGCCTGTAATCCCGTCCTTTGGGAGGCTGAGGTGAGTCGATTGCCTGAGCCCGCGGGTTTGAGACCCGCCTGGGCAACTTGGCGAGACCTCATCTCTATAATAAATCAAAAATCAGCCTGACGTGGTAGCGCACGCCTGTAGTTCCGGCTGCTAGGAAGGCTGAGGGCGGAAGCTGGAGCCCAGCAGGTCGAGGCTGCGGTGGCCACTGCACTCCAGTCTGGGCGACGGAGTGAGACGCCAACTCAAAAAAATATATATATATATATATTTTCTAAGATCCATGTATTTCCTTTTATCTTACTCTGTGCCATCTTATAGGTAATCTGGATTTTACTAGTTAGCAATCTTAAAATACTTGATGTCTGTAAAACTAAACATAGAGAAAAATTCTCAGGAATGATGTTTGAATACTTTTCAGTATGGAAATACAACATTGACTTGTTTTTCTGAAGGTAAAAATAATTTAATAATAAAATACGCCTTAATCATTTATCCTCTTACTACTTTGCCATCACAACATTAAATTTAATCCCCCATAACGGACCATTTATTCCAACAGAGTTTTTCTTCCTTATCCTTTTTTAAGCCATTACTGTTGTTTTCCAACTCTTAAATATCCAAAGCTTAAAAATATTCATATACTTAAATGATGAAGTGAGAGCTTGAGGGGAAGGGAATAATACATTCAGTGATGGTTTGTTTTGGGCACAGAATCATAGATCTCACTAAGCCTAAGAGATAAGGTGTATAAAGCAGAGCTTGCTCAAAAGGCTCCTTGTGATTGAAACAACTCTCAGCCTGTAACTGATGCTGCAGACACAGGGCAGGATGTGGAAAGGAGCTTATTCAGACATTTTGGAGGGTATAAATGGGACTTTTAGAAATTAGTAACATAAGAACAAGTTTTTTCAATGTCAGTTGAAGAAAAACTGGCTCCTGGTTTTTAATAGTCCAGCCTGGAATTGAGATAGAGGAAGTAACCAGATAATTGCATCAAGGGCTCTCTCCAAGTTTCTTTACAGATTGAGTCTGGCTATTGTCATATGGTGCCCCATCTAAAAGACTTAACAGTGCTGAGTTGGAATGACCTGTGGTTTCAGATGAAACCAGAAGACTCATGTGCTCCTTGATCAACCCTGCCTCCTGGGTTTTAAGTCTGAGCTAAATCCTACTTGGCCAGGGTATATATGTTCAGGCATTAGCGTTAAATGTTTATTTGGGTACTTGTTTCAGTAATGTTTCTTTTATTTTCCTCTTCCAGTTTCTGCACTCTTACAAGGGAAAGCCATGATTACACTAACAGAGCTAAAATGTTTAGCAGACGCTCAGTCTTCTTATCACATCTTGAAACCATGGTGGGACGTCTTCTGGTATTACATCACCCTGATCATGCTGCTGGTGGCCGTGCTGGCTGGAGCTCTCCAGCTTACACAAAGCAGGGTTCTGTGCTGTCTTCCATGCAAAGTGGAGTTTGACAATCACTGTGCCGTGCCTTGGGACATCCTGAAAGCCAGCATGAACACATCCTCTCACCCCGGGACACCACTTCCACTCCCCCTCCGAATCCAGAATGACCTCCACCGGCAACAGTACTCCTATATAGATGCTGTCTGTTACGAGAAGCAGCTCCATTGGTTTGCAAAGTTTTTTCCCTACCTGGTGCTCTTGCACACGCTCATCTTTGCAGCCTGCAGCAACTTTTGGCTTCACTACCCCAGTACCAGTTCCAGGCTCGAGCATTTTGTGGCCATCCTTCACAAGTGCTTTGATTCTCCATGGACCACCCGTGCCCTGTCGGAAACTGTGGCTGAGCAATCCGGGAGACCCCTGAAACTCTCCAAGTCCAAGATTTTGCTTTCATCCTCAGGATGTTCAGCTGACATTGATTCCAACAAGCAGTCATTGCCCTACCCGCAGCCGGGCTTAGAGCCAGCTGGCATAGAAAGCCCAACTTCTAGTGTCCTGGACAAGAAGGAGGGCGAACAGGCCAAAGCCATCTTTGAAAAAGTGAAAAGGTTCCGCATGCACGTGGAGCAGAAGGACATCATTTATAGGGTGTATCTGAAGCAGATAATAGTCAAAGTCATTTTGTTTGTCCTCATCATAACTTACGTCCCATATTTTTTAACCTACATCACTCTTGAAATCGACTGTTCAGTTGATGTGCAGGCTTTTACAGGATATAAACGCTACCAGTGTGTCTACTCCTTGGCAGAAATATTTAAGGTCCTGGCTTCATTTTATGTCATTTTGGTTATACTCTATGGTCTGACCTCCTCCTACAGCTTGTGGTGGATGCTGAGGAGTTCCCTGAAGCAATACTCCTTTGAGGCGTTAAGAGAAAAAAGCAACTACAGTGACATCCCTGATGTCAAGAATGACTTTGCCTTTATCCTTCACCTGGCTGATCAGTACGATCCTCTTTATTCCAAACGTTTCTCCATATTCTTGTCAGAGGTCAGTGAGAACAAGCTGAAACAGATCAACCTCAATAACGAATGGACAGTGGAGAAACTGAAAAGTAAGCTTGTGAAGAATTCCCAGGACAAGACAGAACTGCATCTTTTCATGCTCAGCGGTCTTCCAGACAATGTCTTCGAGTTAACTGAAATGGAAGTGCTAAGCCTGGAGCTTATCCCAGAGGTGAAACTGCCTTCCACAGTCTCACAGCTGGTCAACCTAAAGGAACTCCATGTGTATCATTCATCTCTGATAGTAGACCATCCCGCACTGGCCTTTCTAGAGGAGAACTTAAAAATCCTCCGACTGAAATTTACTGAAATGGGAAAAATCCCACGCTGGGTATTTCATCTGAAGAACCTCAAGGAACTTTATCTGTCAGGCTGTGTTCTACCCGAGCAGTTGACCACCACGCAGTTGGAGGGCTTTCAGGACTTAAAAAATCTGAGGACCCTCTACTTAAAGAGCAGCCTCTCCCGGATCCCACAGGTCGTTACAGACCTTCTGCCTTCCCTGCAGAAGTTGTCCCTTGATAACGAGGGAAGCAAACTGGTTGTGTTGAACAACTTAAAAAAGATGGTTAATCTGAAAAGCCTAGAACTGATCAGCTGTGACCTAGAACGCATTCCACACTCCATTTTCAGCCTGAACAATTTGCATGAGTTGGACTTAAAGGAAAATAACCTTAAAACTGTGGAAGAGATCATTAGCTTTCAGCATCTTCAAAATCTTTCCTGCTTAAAGTTATGGCATAATAACATTGCATATATTCCCGCACAAATCGGGGCACTATCTAACCTAGAGCAGCTCTCTTTGGACCACAATAATATTGAGAATCTGCCCTTACAGCTTTTTCTATGCACCAAACTGCATTATTTGGATCTAAGCTATAATCACCTGACCTTCATTCCAGAAGAAATCCAGTATCTGAGTAATTTGCAGTACTTTGCTGTAACCAACAACAATGTAAGTCAACCCATTCTTTCCTTTATTCCGTTAGTCTTTTGAGTATCTGCTATGCCTGTAGTGTGTAATGTAGGGAAAGAAAACGGACTTTAAGTCATAGTATGTGTTCTCTGAGCTGAGCCAAATCCGATGTGATCTTGGACAAATTACCAAAATACTGAGTATCAGTTTTTAATCTAACTTGCAAGTTGTCATGGGAATTTTATGGGGAAAAAAATTCAAGCATTTGGCACAATTCCTGGCACATAATAGTTGCTCAACAAATGCTTTCTTTATTCTCTTTCCCCATTTTCTACATAAACATCATGTCAATGTGTTTTAAACTAATTAATTAGTCATAGTAGAGCTTACAGTTTGTTTTATAAAAGTGTTAGGTCTTTAAAAAGTTTGATAAGGCCGGGCACAGTGGCTCAAGCCTGTAATCCCAGCACTTTGGGAGGCCAAGGCGAGAGGATTGCCTGAGTCCAGAAGTTCGAGACCAGCATGGGCAATTTGCGAGACCTCGTCTCTACAATAAATCGAAAAGTTAGCTGGGCATGGTGGCATGCACCTGTAGTTCCAGCTACTTGAAAGGCTGAAGGTGGAAGGATCGCCTGAGCCCAGCAGGTCAAGGCTGCGGTGGCCATGAGTATGCCACTGCACTTCAGCCTGGGCAACAGAGTGAGACTCCAACTCAGAAAAAAAGTTTGATAGAACTTTTCAGCTTTCCACATCTGTCATAATAGAATAACTTTTTGTTTAAAAACGCTGAGATTATGAATTATTCATAAGTCCTTTTGTGATGCAGGAAAAAAGACTTGAAATCTGCATGCATGTCTAGAAAGGCAATTCAAAAGGAACAGCCTGCCTCTATAATGCAACACTAGGTCTTCATAGAAGCTTTTTCCAGCATCCATGCTTAAAAATGAACCACAAGCCGGGCTCGGTGGCTCAGCCTGTAATCCCGCGCCTTGGGAGGCTGAGGTGAGTGGATTGCCTGAACCCGCAGGTTCGAGACCCACCTGGGCAACTTGGCGAGACTTCATCTCTACAATAAATCAAAAATTAGCCAGGCGTGGTAGCACGCCTGTAGTTTCAGCTACTTGGAAGGCTGAGGAAGAAGGATCGCCGGAGCCCAGCAGGTCGAGGCAGCGGAGGCCGCGAGCAGCCACTGCACTCCAGTCTGGGCGACAGAGTGAGACTCCAACTCAAAAAAAAAAAAAAAAATGAACCATAATTTGCAACAGTACAGCCAAGTTAAGGAAAACTTAACTTCACCAAAACATGAGAAAACAAAACTGTCAGAAATCAAGTCTTCGAAGGGATGAAACTCATCTTCCTCTACTTGAAAATGGGCATTGCTGGCCAGGCACAGTGCCTCATGCCTGTAATCCTAGCACCTTGGGAGGCCAAAGTGGGAGGATTGCTTGAGCCCAAGAGTTCAAGACCAATTTTTACAACATAGAGAGACCTCGTGTCTACAAAAAAATAGAAAAATTAGCCGAGCGTGATGACGCACGCCTGTAGTCTCAGCTATTCAGAAGACTGAGGGAGAAGGATTGTCTGAGCCCAAGAGATCGATTGCTGTGATTGTGCCACTGCACTCCAGTTGAGGTGACAGAGTAAGATCCTGAATCAAAAGTAAAAAAGAAAGAAAATGGACACCTCTATTTTTTCCTACCCCACCCCAAAATGTATTATCTCCTAGATTTTTTTTCTTTCATATTTTATGCTAAATATAGCTATGAACTTGGTGTTGGCTAATAAATATACTAGTCATCAGATAATATTTTTGAAAAACAGATGTTAGAGAAATATTAGAAAATTTGGTGATGAAATTTATGCTGATTTTTAGAACTCTGAGACTTTATTCATATATAAGAAGAGAGAGCCCATTCTAGGACAAATGAGACCTCTTCAGGTCTTAAAGAAATACCAGATTTTGAAACTATATTTAGATCAATCTAGACTAGCAATGTGCATCAGGATTACCTGAAGGACTTGTTGAAACACAGATTGCTATCACCCCCTCCCCACACTGCACCCCCTTTCCCCTCACCCTATCCCTGCCCCTGGGTTTCTGATCCAGTAAGTCAGATATAGTACTGAAGAATTTGCATTTCTAAAAAAGTCCCCAGGCGAAGCTGATGATGCTGGCCTAGTACTGCACAGATCTAGAAGTTTCTCATTAGTGCTGTTTAATTAGGCAGTTGATTGATACTGATATTTTGGTCACATTTTTTTCTGTGGTTAAGTCTATAATAAGAACTAATAAATAATAATTTTGAAAGGCATTGGTTCCACTAAGCTGTTACACAGTTAAATCACTACATGGACTTTTGAAATTTTGCAGCTGATTAAATTGTTAGCTGGCCATGCATTATTTAAATATCTGAGCAAGGCCAGGCGTGGTGACTCAGCACTTTGGGAAGCCAAGGTGAGAGGATTGCTTGGGCCCAGGAGTGCGAGACCAGCCTGGACAAGCTGGTGATACCCATCTCTACAATAAAGCAAAAAATTAGCCAGGTATGGTGGTACGTGCCTGCAGTTCCAGCTTCTTGGAAGGCTGAGGTAGAAGGATTACCTGAGCCCAGCAGGTTGAGGCTGCAGTGGCAGTGAGCATGCCACTGCACTCCAGCCTGGGTGACAGAGTGAGACGCCAACTCAAAAAAACAAACAAAAATGTATGAGCAGGTTAATGTTTTTGTTAGGTTAATGTGACGAACCCTTAAGATCATTGGTACTTTTGACACCGAGTTTACTGACTCCTTGACCATATGTGAAAGAGAGACTAGGTGTGATTGTCAATACATCTGTTCTTAAATGAGGAAAAATACTTTGTGGCATGTGAAAATCTTATGCTTAAGTTACTTTATAGAATGGTATCTTTGAGTGGGTGCTCTCAGAAACCTGAAGAAACAGTTGCTGAGCATCTTTAGAGCCAAAACGATGAACAAGACACCTTTGAAAGAGTGAAGATCACTCTCCTCAAAACTTAGGGTCAAAGAGGCTCTGTGAAAGGACTGTGTAGCAACAGTATGAAGAAACTGGAACCAACTCAGTAGACAGCCAGCAGGGGATTAACTCATGTGGGGATTTAACTAATTTCAAGGTTTCTTCTAACCTTGAGAGTCTCATGATTCTGAGTTAGACCAAGATTTTTATAAAAGTTAGAAAATAAAACATCACATTGGATGTATAAATAAATTTAGGTGTGCATGTATACTCAGAAACCCAAGCCATTTAGTCCATTTGGAATGGCAGTTTGTAAAGATTCCTAAAAGAATGCTTTTAAGCTTCTCAAAACTTGGATAGGCATCAGGTTTGTAGAAGGAGGCAACAAGTACTAACTCTTAAGCTAAGCAGAAAAGACCTTTATTAAAAGGATGTTGAGTATCTCATATTACCCCTGAAAAGGCTATAAAACCCAGCTTGGAAAACAGTCAGGCACAAAGTAAATCAGACAACAGTGAGGACCAGAGCTTTAGCCAGAATCATAGTGCAAAAGCAAAATGGTGAGGGTACCCTACCTCGGGCCATTCCAGCACGGGGCACCAGTTCAGCCCCTGAAAACTCTACATTGCGGATGTTGTGGTCCTCGCCTGCCCACAAAATAGGTTCTTCTTTGTTTCCACTTATTTGTGACCTTAGCCCCAACTCAAAGTTCAAGTCTGAGCCACCTGATTGGCACAGCTTATGAATGCCCACACAGTAGCTGTAATGGAGCTGGGAGTCTGGTGGTGTTGACTTCTCTAGTGGGACATGAGCTCTGCTACCCACCAAGAGTCATAAGGTAGGGAACTTCCTTAACATAAAAGGATGTCGGTCAGTCCCTCAGGTGATACTAACTCACTGAGAGGGCACTTCAGAGTGCTTTCTGCAGGATAATAATAGATGTCTTCAAGAAAAACATTAAATAAATGTTTCTTTTAATCATACATTTGCTGCAGGATTCCTCAGAGCCTTTAATATATGAATATGCATTGTGCTTCTCCGAGAGAGATGGTTTGCAATATTTTCAAAGGTGTTTGAGCAAGACACCTTTGTTTATAATAACTCTTGCATTCCTTGAAACACACCCTAAAGAACTGGATTAAGGAAAGGTTAAAAAAAAAAAAAAAAAGATCATGCACAGACGATTGCAATAAGCATGGCTCAGGTGTAATTAGAGACATGAGGATTTATTTAGCAAGGTGGGTCAGAATAGGGTGCACCTGGAAGTCAAGTTCGTGTTTGATTCATTGGCTAGTGATTAGAGTGAGACTTGAGCTTGGAAGTGCTAGTTAACCTGAACTCTCGTACCTTCATAAGAGATTCTGTAGCACATAGAAGGGTTGGGAGAGGACAACCAAGAAACAAAGCTCCATGGGAAGGTTTTATCAGTTATGATTTATAAGTAGGAATATAGATTGAAAACAAGAGACAAAGACTCATATTTGAAAGGAACACTGTGAGTCATCTAGCTCAGAAGTCGACAAACTAGAGCCTAGGGTCAGGTCCACCCACAGCCTGTTTTTATATGGCCCAAGCAAAGAATGGTTTTTACATTTTCAAATGGTTGGGAGGAAAAAAAAAATCAAAAGACTATCTTGTGACACTTGAAAATTACATGAAATTCAAATCTCAGTGCCCATGAATAAATTCCATGTGTTTCATTAGCTGGCCTGTATTACAAATAATTATGCTCAATTGTTGTTATGTTTTGAGTTTCATTTCTTAAAAATGTATGGAATATTTTTCCTCTCATTATACAAGGACCTCTACAACAGTTTCAGTTTTGCCTCTTGGTTCACAAAGCTTAAATTACATACTCTTCCAGTCCTTTAGAGAAAAGCGTGACTGGTGCCTACTCTAGTTGACTGCCTTCATTTTCCTGATACTGAAACTGAGGCTCAGAGCAACTCACCTGAGGTCCAAAGCCTCCTGGTGACGGAGTAGGAGTATGCCAGCTCCTATTCTGCTGTTCTCCAGTGCATCAACCCAAGTGATGTTACCTGGCAAACAGTGGTATGTGTGTGGGG